AAACACAGCAGCTTCATGCTACGTGGCTGACTGACTCCATGAGACTTTGGAACTAGAAACTCCCGTAACCGAGAGGCTCCTTCTGCTTTGCAGCTCTCTGTTCAAGCTGCTGGTGCCCCTGCACTTCTCAGGCAGAAGTGCAGGGGTGTGACTGAGAAGGGAGTGACTGGGAGTGCAGGGATGTGACTGGGAAGGGAGCTAAGTGCTAAGGGAGCTGCTGCCAGAGCTGTTCTGTGCTCTCCTGGATGTGAGGAAGAAACCTTTAGACTTGGAGTTATGGATTCCCTGGTGTCTTCCCCAGGCTGACTCTGGTCTTCTCTATCTCTTCAGGCAAGATGTACATCTTTGGAGATGCTAACCACCATCCACTCCAGCCCAGTGCTGAGGGAGCTGCTCCCAGAGATCCTCTGTGCTCTTCTGGAGCAAGTTGGCCACACTGTGGGCAGGACATGCCAATGCCCACAGGGAGCATCCGGAGGAGGCAGATGCGGAAGGGGCAGCTGCGAGCAGTGGGCAACCCTTGCAGGTAAGGAGTAGGCTAAGCCTGCTTTCACAGGTTTGGCCTCACTTCAGGCTAGCTGCCTGCAGGGTGTTCTTGGCCTTGCCAAGGGCTGTGCTGAGCTGTGTTGATCCTGGCAGCTGAAAGAAGCAGGGGGTTGTCTGAGAAGGGCAGAGTCTGAAATGTTAAGGCTGGGAGGGCCTATTTGTTCCTCCAATCTGAGCTCCTCTGAGACAGGCCAGGCAGTTTCAGCCCAGGGAGGGAAAAATAGCTGCCCAATTCTTTCTGTAGTGCATTTGGCTTGGGAGAGTGTCCATGCATCCCTTCTGGCTTCCAGCACTGATTAGTGCAAGGCCCTGCCCTCCCTGTCCCTGTCAGGGGATTGCAAGGCGTGAAAACGAATGGCAGCATCGGTCTGATCTGAGCTGCCTGCCTTGCACAGCAAGTGTCTGAGTAACGGACCTCCCGAGTGACAGGGAGTTGTGGTTCTGCTCTGGCCGCAGCATCTCGTTGCAGTCTGTAAATCTAGGCCTTCTCTCTCCCCGGCTTTCTATGGAGAACCTGGCCTGTGCCATATCTAAGGGCCTTGGGGAGGGAGTAGCTGGAGCCTTCTGCAAAGGGGGAACTTGGCCACTCCTTGAGAGCTCCCAGACACACCATGAGGGGGTATGCCAGCTGGCTAGATAAGATAGGCAGGCTGGATTGCACCTGTGCTCTAGGCAGCGGGATGAGTGGTGGAGGGGGAACTGTCCATGCTGAACCCACACGGTTGTGTGGAGCTGGAGACATGGAGCTTGTGCTCCAAGAGATGATAGCTGCCACCTCAGAGCAACTGAGTGTTGGCAGTGCCCGGCTGGTCCCAGAACTAGTGGTTTTCTCTTGCAGGGCTCTGCTCCTGTTGGGCATTATAACACCCAAATTCATAGGGCAGGTCCTGCAGTGGGTCACTTCCACAACTGAAAAACTGCGTGTTACTGGTACGGCCTTCATCAGCCAGGTAAGGCCCCATAGAGAATGAGCAGTTTGATGAAAAGGCTGCTGTTTGCTGTGCTCTTTTCCTGGGGAGCCCC